CCAGGTGAAGAAGTGGGGCTCCGACTCGGCGCCCCCGTGCTGAGCGGGGGTGCCCCTGTGCTGACCCCGTCCCCGGGCCTTCTCCAGTGTCGCCCTCTCCAGTGCCACGGAGTTAGCTGCTCTGCTGTGCCTGCCGCCCCTCCTGTCGGGCACAGGGGCACCCCGGAGCCCGGCTCCCTCAGCCCTGCCCCCGCCCTGAGCCTGCTGGCTTGTAAACATCGGGCTGGCCAGGCCAGGCGTGGTCCTTGCCCCCCACCTCCCACTCTGGCAATTCCAGTCTGCCGATTCCTGTCACCTTAGCTCCAAAGCAGCGGGCAGATTCGGCCGCTTGCCTCCTCTCGCCCACCTTCCTCCCAGCCACCCTTATCTTACCTGGGCAGGTGTAAGACATCCAAACTGGTCTCACTGCTTCCACGTTCGATCGTTCCCACCGCTCCCCCACCCCCAGTCCATTCTCCACTCGGCAGCCAGTGCTCTCAAAACATAAACAGTGTCAGGTCAAAACCTGCCGAAAACCCACCTGCGCTTTCCAGCCACAAGTATAATAAAAGTCGGAATGTCTCGAAGGCACTCTGTATCTGGCTTAACATGTCCCTCTCCAGCCTCATCGCTCCATCATGCCCTGGGCTTCGCTCCCCTAGACTTTGATTTTATTGACCTGATGGGTGTGTTTCCACCTCAGGGCCTTTATTTTTGCAGTTCCCCTGCCCTAGAACACGTCTGCACCACTCTGTCCATGACCATCCATCAAATCTCAGCATAAGGTCACCTTCACTGGAGTAGACGTTTCCTTCCAGAAGAAACTCAGCCCTCTGTGTTTCCGTTCTATGCTCCCCTTCAGTCTATAACTGCTTTATGTGTTTGCTTCCTTGTTTAGTGTTGCCACTGTTTTTATTCCCTCTTGGTGCTATCACCTTGGATGTCCTTCAGGTTTTATCTGCTAGCTTCTGTGCCTCGACACACAGCAGGTGTTCAGTCAATGCTTATGGGATCACAAAAGATCTCTCTTAGTAGAACTGAGGCTTCACGAGGGCAGCATTCTTGTCTGCTGAATCCCCCAAGCCCACCTCGGTACTTGGGGTTTTGTGACAGTCCAATGAGTGACGTCAGCAGAGCCCTCTGTAAAACCTTATTTTTCCTCCAGAATCTCTGCACCCAACACCCCTACCTTTCAGGCTTGGCAGTCTTCTTGTCCAGCCTCAGAAGTGTACAGAGGAAAAGGGTGGGAAGCTCATGTTTCTGAGACCGAGCGCAAAATTCCCGCAGGGAAGAATGCTTCTATCCCACCATGTGGGACCCCAGGGCACGGGCCGTCTTCCTCAGCCCCATTCACAGACCCGCCACCACACTCGGCAGCGACGAAGCATCCATGTGTTTCCGTGGGAGCTGCGTGAAGCAAACCCACGCCCCACGAAGCCCCTCCTACCCCAACAACGCCAAGGGTGGCCTCGCTGCAGCCCCGTCCGCACTGGCTCAGGGTGGCCGTCTGCGTGAGGGGGTCCTCTCCCTCTCCCTTTGCTCCATGTGGGCGAGACGCCTCTTGTAGCCAGTCCTGGAGGTCCTGGAGTGCTTATGCTCACCTGCCACCACCATCCCTACCTCCTTGCTGCCTCAGCGCTGCCTTCTCCTTGATCTTTTGGCTGTAAGTATCCTCTCCCTGCAGCTTTCCTCACACAGCTCCAAAATGTTCTGACAGCCTGAGCTAACCCCATCTCCTCCCTCACACCCTATCACCTCAGTTGAAAATCTATCTGGGATCCTGGTCATGCAGTGGGTTAAAGCGCAGCACTAGGACGCTATCCACAGCCACTGCAGCACGAGTTCGATCCCCAGCCAGGGAGTGGCCCACAGCATGCAGGAGACCCCTCCTGTCTCCCGGCTGATTCCTGCGTCGATCAGCCCGTTCTGCTCCCCACACTGTCTCTGGTGAATCCTCTCACCCCCTGCACCCCTGGCCTTTCCCCAGTTCTGTGTGCCTAAATAAATCTTCAAAAAGGAGAGCAAGCCCACCTGGGGTCTCCCCCTTACTAAAGCCCCAGGGTGCCAGGTGTCCTGGGTTTTGACTTGCTGGTGTCAGTGCCTGGCCTCTTCTGCCACAGGGGAGGCCCACTGAGGGCAGGACAGGCCAGGGCTGCTCCTCCCCCTCACGCAGGGGCTCCTGGGAGGTGCTACCGCTCTGTGAATAACGGTGATCCGATCACTTCTGTTTAAACTCCTCCGCAGCTTCCATCTTGAAACCCAAGCGTGCCTGTGCCATCTCACCACACTCAACCCTCCTGCTTTGAGTGGGCACTGCTGCTCCCCTGGCAAGAACACCCGTAGACAGCCCCTGCCTCCTCTGAGGAGCTGGGAGGACTGAGCAGAGGGCAGGCCTGGGAAAGGGAGACGCTCCCACCCCCCACCGCACCCCGCCCCCACCATGTGCACTGGCGCGGGCACAGTGACCTCTGGTGGCCAGGCGTGAGAACAGCACCCTCCTGAGGTGCCCGGCCTGACTGTGGTTGAGTCTGAATGGAGATGGCTACAAGGACTCTCAGAAAAACTGCACAGAGAATAAAATGTCTCATTAAACTCCTTTAAAAGCAGAATCAAAGCAGCTCTATAGGGCCCTGAAGGATGTGGGCAGGAAGGAGGGAAAGAAAGCATGATCTTCCCCAGGATGGAGAAGCGGGCAAAGGCTGGCGGTGGCTGAGAACACCAAGTGTGCCCGCCAGCCTGGCGGTCAAGCCTCACATGGAGGGAGGTCAGATGGGACACCCTCTAATGCACACGGTGGAACCTTCCAGAAAGCTTAGATTCCTTCTGCAGATGAGGAGACAGATGACCAGAGAGGCTGGGTCACTGATGCCGGTGCTCCCAGCTCCGAGTTCACAGTCCGAGGTCTAAAAGTCCACTGGGCCGTCCTTGCCCATCACAGACACCCCTGAGATTCAGTGGGGGTGGGGAGCAAATCCAGTTTTGAGCCGGGAATCACTAGAAGGTGAGCTGGGACTGGGAGGCCGCCGGGCCGGGGCCACCTTTGCGCTCCTGTTCCCCCGACGCCGCCTCGTCCAGCCCCCGGCGG